ACTATATTATGCTATTTTTGCTTGATTATAGTTAGCTATCTCTAATCAGATTTTAGTAGCACTTAGAAAAATATGCTGACGTATTATTAAAGCTAAATTTTAAATTAAATAATCGTTTATTTTTAGTATTTTAGTAATTAAGAATTTTTACATGTAAGGTCTTTTTGGCTTTTAATAAATTACATCCAGACATAAGTTGACTTATAATATAGGCTTTATATAAATATATATTCATTTGAATTGCTAATATACTCCATGAAAGATCTGATTGTGAAATGCTAGTCTTGTTTAGACAGCTTTCGGCCCCTAGAATTTGGCTATCTTTGTTCTTACTTTCCACATGTTCATAGCTGTCACAATGCTATTTAAATATCATTTTATAGCGATGCCATTAATTTTTGAGATTTGATGATGTAAGTCCTTTGCGCTGCGCCTCCAGATTTTTGAGAATCCGTGTTGGGCTTTCATCTGCCATGTGACAAAAATCTTTTTGCACATACCCATTCTTTATGAAACGCAATTTTACTTAATATCTACTCGGAAATTAAAGGTAGAACATTATTCATATCTATGGAGGGTTTGGGCCTCGGAGAATCCCTTACACCCTTAATGTGACTCAAGTTTTTATTTAGAAAGAAAAGATAGTTGGAAAGACTTCGTAAATTGTTTTCAATTAAAAAAAAGAAGACGATATTGGAGTTTTGACGCACTTTGTCCGAAATTTTCTGGCATAGTATCCATATTGATTTTCGGCGTTTGTCAACTGACTATGCACATTCCTACATATTTCACTGGCATCGCAGCATACATTTTTTTAGTGAACTTTGCCATTCTTAGCGCCACACAATGGAGGTGGAGAGAAATTGGCGATTACATTTCCTAGATGTTAAGGTAATTCTCTCCAACCGGACACAAAAGGAGACTATTCAGAAAGAACTCACATGAGGGAATTATTCTCGATTTCCAGTCTCATCAAAACTACAGAATGAAGATCCAACTAATAAGGAGTTTCTCATCAGAAGCTTGGGATTAACGAGCATTGACTCTTGGACTAAGAGTTAAACACACTGACCCGAATTTCCCCTAGTGGCTGGTACCTTAGAGAAATCATACAAAGAAATATAGAGGTTATAAAGAACAGATAGCAACTTTATTATTATAAAAATTAACTCAGGAGGGCGACCGTTACTATGACTATGAATTATTCAGGCGACCCCGAAGAATAGATTAACGCTCTTCATTAGATTAGCGATGCAACGCAAGAGGGTTCACTAACTTGATTGCTTTTAAATTTATCAAAAAACATAAGGTAATTGTGAATAGAAGATGTAGGGAAACGGGAAAAAATCAGCATACGAATCAAGGAACATCAGAGACTGTTAAACAGTTGGTCAAAGGATCGAGATTACTCGTATTTTTGACGAGTTTTACTGTTTTGCTAAGAATAGCAAGGCTTATTGGCCATGCCGGCGAAACGTCTGGGACTGTATCAAGTCCACTTTCCGAAGCTGGAAATTATCTTGGATGCTATAGCAAAATAGCCCGTTCATCTAGCTCTTCATTATAATGCAGCCAAGTTGTGAAAACGTGCCTTAACCTCCTCTATAGATAAAATATAGTTAAGACCGATAGGCGGGGGTAGGCATTTTCATTGCATTTTTATTGGATTGTTTTTTATGGTTTATTTTTAATTTTCTGAATATGCGAATAAGATTCTTGTTACAATTTTGGTCTCTGTTTAGTAATTAATTTATCCAAAATGTGTCTTAAATTTAGCGATCAAGGTCAGCAAATGCGATTCTTCATCGGCTCATAAGAGCTTTGATATGACTATCCTTTTGCTCCCTTAGTGCTTCCTATTTGGTTAGCCCTCCGCTTAATCTTAAATAGTTATTTTATCTTCCTTTGTGCCTTACTCGTTTTTCTACTATTTTCCTTTTACTCAATGATCAAATTTGATTTTATTACTTTGTTCTTCTTTTTTTCTCTTATTTTTTAAATTTACAGTCGGCTATCTTCCAACTGCCAAATTCTCCTCTTTTCTGCAACGTTTGACGATCACGTAGTCGAATTCGCTCGTGACATGATTCCAAACCCGGTGGAAATTCGCGTAAAGCAGAGTCAACTGACGCTGAAGAACATCAAACAATTTTATATGTGGGCACCTGATTGGGAGACCAAGTTTTATCAGGTCAGCGAAATCTATGGCTCCTTCTCCGTTGGACAAGCGATAATTTTTTGCGAGGTAAGTTTATTTCTCTCATTCCCTTTGCATTTATGAGTAAAGCGACGACCCAAAACTTTTTCGTTTGCTTGCTATAATGACAATTAATTAAGTATAAATACTTTTTTCTTTAAAATTACAATAATTTTGATCATATTATAATACCAACAATAAGGAATTTTCCATTTAATTTAATTGATTTGTAAGTACTTCTTTAAGATTTACTAGAAAACTCGGGCTTTTCTATTCCTTCTCTAGAGGTCATGATAATTTTGAGTCGAACCGTAGATTTAGTACATTCTTAGATGATTCGCTGGCATCATCACTCAGCCTGGCCTAACACCAACTCATTAGAGGCAAGTGAAGCTTATTCCAACCTTTATTCCGAAAGGTCGTGATATCTCTCATTTTATCCTGGTACACTCACCTATTATTATTTCACCTCTTTACTTTCACAACTAACTTATTGACTCCTATGATGTGCTGTTTTTTAATCGGATTTATTCGCCGTCTGTTCCTACCCCCTTGGTTTAGCCGGGGATGTTGATCCATTTTTTGTCTGCAAACTCATTCATCAGATTCACCTTTGTGTCTTCGACGATTCCCTTCTTATCTTATTGATTCACTGACTTCATCGTCTTCTCCCATCATAGCCGTTGTTTTTCCATAATTCCTTCTTCATAAGGCTCTTAAATATTGTTATTTTATTGATTTGACTGCACTCACTGCCTAAGTCTTCTTGATTTTCGATTGTTCCCCAAACTCCTTTCCTTTTCAAACTCCTTTCGTTTTATTCAAAGATGCATCCTTTATCTATTCATCTTTTTTTTCTATATTCCTGCTTCTTGGTTTTATTCCAGGTTTGTCTAAGCCGTAAACAAAGTTTTAAACAGTCTCTTTTTCATTAGATTTCGATCAGTAAGTATATCGATAGCTTTGCATTTTCTTGAATTTGAACCGCCTGCGGCCAGTCCTTTTGTTGTATTCCAGTTGGTCTCGTGTCTACTTGCTATTCCGGCTCTCCATACTCTTTTTTCTTCACCTTTAGTGTTCACCAATTCGTATGCCGATTTTAGTTCTCGTTTCACTTGTTTCTTCCTGCTCATCGCCATTATATGTTTTGTTTTAGGCTCGAGCAACCCTGCTTGTCCACCTGATGTTGCTTGGGTAAGCTTGTGAAGTATTATGTTTTCTCTTCCATGCAAAGTATTTATTTGGGTATTACATCAGCACCCCCGATTGCAGATGGACCTCAGTGAATACTTTTTACCAAAAAGTGAATTAAGATGTCATTTTTAGTTCAAAGAT